GTCCACACCTTCATCATCTTCTTCCCTTGAGGTACAAAAAAATGGAAAAAAGTCTTGAATTTCAACAAAAAAATCATTGAGTAATTTCTACAAACATGTTATGGGCATAAAATGAACTAGAGAAATTACACTAAAATTTTAATTAATTAACACCTCTAAATGATTACAATGAAACAAACTAATCAATTATTCACTTTTATATCATACATTCATACATAATATACATAAAATCGAAAAAAGGAAGAAAAAAAACGCACATGAGGAAAAAACGGAAAATAGAGTACGTACTTCATTATTTGAGAAGGGATTGTTACCTTAGAGACAACTAGATGGTGAGATCTTGAAACCTTCAAAAATGGAGATGAGAGCTCTTGAAATGAAAAGAGGAGAAAAAATGGGAATGGGGGTGAGAGAATAGCAAGGGACGGATGGGAGAAAGAAAGAGAGGGTGTGGGATGAGAGATGTTTGAAGGGGTAAAAAATGGTAAAAATAGGAAGGATTTTATATGGGGTACAAATTGGGGTACCTGTAGCATTGCGGTATTAAAGCCTTCCATCTAGCGGAGTGCTGAGTTCGAACCCCAGCGACTTCCGCCACTTTTTGTTAAATACCTAACGACATACCCAGTCTCAAGGTTGTTAAAGCTCGATTTAAATTGTACGATTTGACGATTCTACATTATTAAATCGATTCAAATCGCACAGTATTGTATGTGTCAATTGCCATTTAGCTAATAAGCCTGTGGAGGTTGAGGTTGAGGTACCGCAAGCGGTACTTCCACATACTGTATTTGAGGCAGTAGTGCAAATTCCTGAAACAAGTTCTTTCCAATGGTAAAAGGGGGTTGAATGTGGGGGCTGTTCTTATTTTACCGGATGGTTTTGAATTACCCCCTATAGATTGGCATTCTACCGAGATGAAAGAAAAAATAGGCAAATTGTCTTTTCAGAGCTATAGACCCCCGGAATTTTTTTTTGTTGTGGTGGGCCTTGTTCCTGGTCAGAAATATAGTAAAATAACCTTTGTCATTTTATCCCCCGATCCTGTTACTAATAAATATGCTCATTTCTTAACATATCCTATATATGTGGTCGGGTGGAAACAAGGGAAGAGGCCAAGTTTATCCCGACGGTAGCAAGACTAATAATACTGTTTATAATGCTATAGCAACAGGTAGAGTTAGCAAATCGTAAACTTATAAAACAATACAAAATCGTAAAAAAATCATACAAAATTGTGTGGAATCGTATAAAATCATAACAAAATCGTAATAAGTTTTTTTAGTAAAAATGGTTCAAATTTAATAAAACTAACTACTAAAAATTGATACATAAATCCAATAATAATAATATCAATAATATATTTAATGAAAGTAATGAGTTCTCGTGTTATTTAATTATTTTTATGTTTTACATATGTTTAATGTTATTATTATCTACATTTACATTATAAAAATAGTTTATAAATCTTGTCTATGACTTTGTAGGTCTAGTTTATGACATGATTATTAATATATGTTTGGTAAAATCTTACGTTTTACGATTCAATTTCACGATTCGGTTTTCAAGAACTTCTACCAATTCGATTCAAAAATATGATTTTAGCAACCTTGCCTAGTTTGGTGGACCACAACAATTGATCGCATCTCCCTTTTCAGCATCTGCCATTTCAGACCTCGGCGCCTCAACTACCTCTGGCCCTCCACGACTTTGGCATTCTGAGTTCCACCGCCTCTGCTCCATGCCGTGGTGCCGCTAGAGTCCAGACGACCTGACCACCTCTCCACCAGGCGCCCACACGGGAAGACAGGGCAGTTCAGCTGACCAAATAAAGTCACACACATGTCCATGTTAGGAAATTGATGTAACATCCATCGAAAGTACAACAACGAAAGTTTAAAATTTTCCCAAACAAATCTTCTTTACATCAACGGAACTTTAAAATTTTCTCAAATAAATCTTCCCTACACCAACGGAAATTGATGTAACGTCCATGTTAGCATCGAAGATGCTCTTAATTTTGTTGAATGTTAGTTAGAGAGAGGAAAGGTTTTGAAGAGCACCACCAGGTAGTTTGTTTAGCTACTAGGTTTCGCAGACCAAGACGCCGCAGTAAGGCCACAAGCTCGCGGGTAGACTTAGGTGATTTCAATGATTGAAATTCTTCATTACATATGACATGCATGCAAGAAACTCCTTAAAAAATGAGTAAATAGAGATCATGATTAAGAGAAGTTAATAAAATTTGAGATTGTTTAAGATATTTATATTTTGTGACCATGTCATGACAATTGTAAATCATAAAGAACCGATTATGTGAGGTGTGTGGATGAAGATGCTCTAAAAAATAATCTTTGTTTTGTGATTCTTTCCTTCTAAATATTGTCATATAACCATCATATTCAAATAATTCACTTTTTTCATTACATACGGAGTACTTCCTCTGTTCCCTTTTAATTGCAACAGTCAACATTTCACATTTGACAACACACAAGTTTGACCATTAATATCTTTCATTCCCTATTAGTAAAAAATTTAAAAAATTCATATTTTGAAAATTTAGAATGAGAAGAATTTAACAATATTTTTAAAAATTTAATTTATAATACATTAATTAATAAAATATAGTCAAAGTAGAATATGTGAATAGTGCAAAAAGTTCAATGTTGCAATTAAAAGAGAACGAAGGTAGTATAATTCTGAAATAATCTTAGAATAATATGAAGACAAAATTGACATAAATAATCCATACTTTTATGCATTTTACAAAAATAATCCCTGCCAGAAAAGTTCACAACAATAATCTGAACTATTTAACTCTTTCACGTAAATAAATCCGGAGTTAATGGTGTTAACTTTTTCGTTTAGTGTTTTTTTCATTTTAAATATAATCACCCAAAAATATGTATAAGCATCAACAATAATATATACTTCGTATATTTGTTCTTATATTTGCATTTATTATAAATTAAATTTAATAGTCATAATTTTTCATTAAATGTAATAGAAATGTTTAAAAACGTACTCATCAAATTCTCTTTGTTCTTTTAGTTCTAATCAATACGGAGTATGTTATTTAGATTCATATTTATTTCATTATAATAGACATTTAAAATTACTTTTAGTAATTCAATATCAAATATTACTAAAATGAATACAAGTATGTGTTCAATTTTTATTTATATTTTACACAAAAATCGTTATTATTAAATTAAATTTGTAGTAGAAATAAGACTAAACAAAAACATAATATTATTAATGTTTATATATATATTTTATTCATTTTATTTTAAATTTCAATTAAAAAACGGAAAAGTTAACACCGTTAACTTCTGATTTATTTTTGTGAAACAACTATCCGGTTGGAATTATCGTTGTGATTATCCAAACAATTTATGCAACTCAATGATGATTCTCCAAAAAAATGTCTTATCACTAATTTAATCTCCTAATAATCATATGAATGAGGATATCCTAAAAAATCTTGTTTGGTCCTATTATGATCTATTTAAATTTAATTTGATGAGGTTTGAATATTTATGATTGTATAAGGTAAATGTGTGATACATGTATTTTATCATGATCTAAGGCGGTTTTTACTTTTTCTATAAAGTTATATCTAAATTAAAATGTTTGTCTATATTAACATTTATGCCTAGATTGAGCGATTTGTTTTTACGATTGTTTATTTTGTGTGTTGAATAAACAGTCACGATTGAATAATAATAATAATAATAATGATAATAATATATTTAATATTATTATTAAATTATATTGTCACTGAACAAGTTCATTTATAAACATAATTTATTCATAGTGAGGAAGCGGTCGAGTCCAGCTGGTCGCCGACTCACTCTCCCTTACGGGAAGTCTCGGGTTCGAAACTCAATGGAATGAGTTTCAGCCCTGATTACTCCAGGCCCCATCCCCAGACATATACTACCTCAATCCAAAAAATGGAGTGAATTAATTAAATAGAAGTACGACATACTCTAAATTAAAAAATAGGACTACATTATTTTAAATGTTTAAAATAAAACTACTTATATGTGTTTGGTCAGTTATACCCTGCCCCTACTCCCAACCCCAACCATCTTCCCCAACCCTCCCTGCTCCCGGCCTCCGGTTGCCGTTGATCTACCCCGGCCACCGCTCTGCCCTTGCTGTCGTCGGTCGCCGGAATCTAACAAAAATTCTCAAAATGAATTTTTGGCTAGTTTTACGCTGTCAAGCTCGCCGAAGCTCCGCCGCTGTTATCAGACTGCCCCACCACCAACGGATTTACCCGACACCAACGGAGTGACGCGGTTGCCTAATAGAACTAGAGGGGGGCAATTAATTAATTAATTACATTAGAGGTATTAAGAGTAAAAAATTAATGTTTAGTCCTATGTGTGAAAGGTGTAGGTTTCACTCTTGTTTGTGCAATATGTTTACATTTAGTCTTATTAGAGTAATTACTAAAATATATTTGTCATATTGACTTTTCTTGATCAATGATAACAAACTAGACAATAATTTTAACTATTGTATTTGAATGTATTTCATAAATTTTGTACTTTTCAAAATTTTTTTAATAAATGGTACTTTAATACTCCGTATAATTCTCATTTTCAAAACAATTTCTTATTAAAAATTATGATTGATCCAATTTAAATATCATTAACTAAGAGAAATCAATTTGACAAGTCTAGAGCTTGGTCCAAAAGGCGGAATCTCCCACCCCAGGAGCCCCTCATACTCCGACCCGACTGGATTTTTGGGAGGATGTTAATCACGGTAATTCCGTCGGCCCAATGATGGTAGACATTTTTCTCATGCGCACCAGAGGCCTAGCCTTATTTCAGGTTCTGTGACCTCCGCACGTTCATTGAGCGTTTCGAACCTTGGTCACTTGGTCCAAATTTACAAGACCAGAGCTGAAATCGTTGAAAGAGCCCGGTTTAGTTTCAAGTTTGACTGGATTGGATACGAATTGAATTGTACCGAGCATGTCATCCTTGAGAGGACTCATGGCTATGGCTATAACATCAAACCTCATCCAAAACAAGCGGGCTCACAACCACCACATTTTACTTCACACCCACCCACGTAGACAACGGGAACATGGCGATGGCAATAGCCAGGCCGCCGGCAACCATGTCCTCCGCGACGGCCTCTTCAAGTTCCAATCGGAAGCCACCGTTTTCATCACCCGCCACCATCTCCATCAAATCCCATCGGAGCCTGAGAGTTTCAAGAAGGGATTTGTTGAGTGCAGGGCTGAGTTTCATGCCTCTGCTCACTATTCCTCCCCCGCCTACAAAACCTAAGGAAGTTGAAGGTGGATCTTACCTTCCTCCATCGCCACCCGTCCCTTCTTTTGTCGTCTACAAAGCCAAACCCACCATTGACACTGCTTCAGGTACCACTTCAATCTGTTTTTAACTGCGTATTCTTCAGTTTCTTTACCATTCCGTCTACATATGGCTTTTTTTTAAAAATTGAGATAAACCTTGTCTTTTGATTTGAAATTCTCGAATTTTCGCCCTATAAGCTATAGTTGGTTCAAGTCTGGATCGTTTTTCTTGAAATTACGTCATCAACATTGTGGTTCTTAGTAATTACAGTACCACCTGGTAGACTTTAACTTCGGATTGAACATTGTGTTCAGCTTTAATGCATTCTTCGTACTCTACAATCTACTCTGGACTGCAAGCTACCAATATTTAGTTGCCAAGAGTATTTGACTATTTGTGACACTCCGTATATATGTAGGATTTTGATCTTGAATTAAGGCTTTTCGAGAAATACTAGGGCAGGGAAGAAGATACTACCGAAAGTTATTTTCTTGTGTTAAGTTTACCATGGAAAACCCGAGGAATAAAATATGATAAATGTTAAAAAGTTTTACATTTTTTAGACTTGTTAGCCTTTCGATACTAGAAATAAATAAAGAATCAATTACATAAATATGACTAAAAAAAGATGATTTACAAAAATATGACTAATGACTAGAGTAGTAATGAAATCATAGTAATTCATGTTCAAGTTTTGATCTTAAGTTACCACAACACCACATTGTAGTAATGAATAGTCATATTTATGTAAATATGACTTATTTTAGTAATAGTTTTGTAAAAAACCCATAAATAAATATGGAGTAATAGAAATGAGTTTGAACTAAAGATACAGTGAGTTGGACGTTTTATATTCCATCACATTTCTTCCCTTCCAAATTTGAAGTTTTTCCTTTATTACTGAAATATAACTTGTGGGAAAAAATAAAATTACTATGAGTATTACTTGAAAGGCACTATATGGTAAAAGTTGAATATGATCATGGAAACTAAAGTTTTATTATGGCCGCTCAAGTATAAGAACTTACATACTTGTATGCTGCCATTATTTTGGTCATATATTCGGCATTGTTTCTCCAAATTTTACCAATAGTGAGTTAGGACTTTTTCATTAGTATTTCCAAGTTTTGTGAGTTGGACATTTTCCCCCTAGCAATACTCCGAGTTCCAAACAAGCCATAAGCATGAGATGAAAATCTATTTATAGTAAGATAGATGGTGTCATTGTCATATGAGTTAATCATCCCCATCATCACTTAAATCTTAACTATGTTGGAGTCGGTAGCATAAACTAGTAGTGTGAGCTAAGTGTAAAAAATTACTACCTCTGTCCCCCCTAACATTGAGACATGAGGAGGTGATGCGATTATTAAGAAAAGTGGGTTTATGTGGTTGACATTGATTGATTAAGTAAGAACAAAGTAATAATGATTTAGAAGCACACAAATTTTCCCAAATTTGGTATAAGACAATCTTAGTTTGAAAGACCAAAAAGATAAGATGGGACAATCTTAGCGGGATAGATGGAGGAATTATTATCAATTTATCATTCACAGTTCCTTGTGCTATAGGGGATGAGCATGTATTGTTTTCATTAGTGATTTGCTAAGCAGTCTGTACTTGCACGGTTCTGACTCAAAATCACTATAGTTGGCTAGTTGCAAAAGTATAACAATGTGCTTACAATGTCCTGTCCAGTCCAGTCTATAGGCTTATGAGGCTCCGACTTTAGTTGATTTCAGGAAATGTACAGCCATACAGATTTATTCTTCCTCCTACATGGAAACATACTCGTACGGAAAACATATCTTATGGGAACTACTGCCAACCAAAGTGTGCAGAGTCCAGATGAAGTCCTCAAAACATCCATTGAGAAGTGTGGTGATCTAACGGTATGAGGAATCTAATAATCATTCCGCTGAACTCTAGTTCTTCTATAGTTCTATCTTTTATTTGTTCTTCCCTTCTACATTTTCCTTTCATTCAGTTCAAACACAAATTTCGCGACCTCTTACCTTCCAGCGTTGTTTGGTAGTACAAACTGGCATATTCTGCAGAATATTATGAATAAGTAGCCTTAGATTTCGCAAAAAAAAGTAGCCTTAGATTTGCTTATTATGCCAGTTTTGTTACTCTTTTCCTTTCAAAAAGTTAAGCGGATTTAGCTATTTCAGCCAAATAATCTCTTAAATGGTATGGTCTCTGATGCGTTAGCTTCTATTCTTCTATAGTTCTATACTTGCAGACTTCTCTAGTTCCTTCAAAAGAGAAAATTCATCATCATTGCAACCTCGATCCCAGCTTTGGTGGGTGACATAAAATTTATTATCTTGAAATTGGTTAACAAATGTTATACATAAACATTATTATAGGACTACGAAAAAGAAAATTAAGTAAGATCATTTTGGAGTTATTTCATTTATTTGGGATGGTGGGGGGCTTAGTCTCTATCTTGGTATATATTTGAGATTCATTAAAAATTGAATGCTTAGCATCATTACAAATTGTAAAGCATTTTGAATCGTCTTTTACTCATCTTTAGAAATATACCATATATGGTTGATATGTGCCATGTCCTGGAAGCACATCCCAAACCCATCCAAAAGCCTCCTTCCATACGAAACTGAGAAGATTAAAATGGCCTAGAGGGAGTATATAAGAATATGTGGTTAATATGTGTGTATGTTATGGAGTTGTATTAACTGCATCATCTTCTTGCATGGATTGCACTGTTTTCATGAATACTACGTCGGCTTCTGTTGCATTAGTGCAGGTTTGCTCTTGAAACTCGTTATGAATTGACTGGGTCCGTCAACCTCGCGGAAGCAACAGCAGTTGGAGATACGGCTGCCCCCTTTGTGGCCAGTGCCAATCAGAAACATTGGAATTCATCCACTAGAAGATTTAGAACCAATCCTTGATTTCTTTCATGGGAAAAGTCTGTATCTTCCATTTTTTGTTCATTCTGTAGTTGTATTCCATATTTCCATCTAGGTGTGAATCTGGCCCGAGTTCTGAAACTTGACCTAGACTGGGCAGGTAAAAAACTGAATTGGAGCCCATTTTTTGGTTCCAGACCTGAACCGGTATGACACAAGATCAAACAGGTTCCAGTTTTTTCAAGACTGGATCAGTTTGGGTCCCTTTTTTTGGAAAATTTGCTGAATAACTGGAATGCGTGTATAACTTACCCTAGAACCACAGCCTAATACAGTTTTATGGCTAGGTGTACTTTTGTACTTTTGGACATGTAATCAGCTGGTGTCCTTAATTCCAGTTTACATGATACTCCGTATTTACTATCATTTGGTCAAACAGCTACTTCTTTCATAGTTTATATTGTTAAATGTTCTTCTATAAGTAAATAGCATTGATGTTTTATTTAATGTAAATCTGGACGTAGAGTTTAATTTTATAAGTTTTGGTGTGCTTTGAGTACTACGAATTACCATAATGTAAAATATATCTCGTGACATGATGCATTGATACTCATGATGCGAAGAGGTAAACATAAATATAGAACACAATCCAAAACAGCGCAGCATATATATTATATCAATCCAAAATACAATAAAAAATAATACCTATTATACCTATTATACTCCCTTTGGTTCCAAAAGATCTTGACATTTTGATTTCATAGTTTTTAAGGAAATTAACGTTGTTTGGCACTGTTTGACACTGTTTGGCACTGACACTGTTTTGTGTAGATTTATTTGCCAAATAAGGCAAATAAAGAAGTGTAAAGATCTTTCTTGTACTGCTAAAAATAGAAAGTGTAAAGATCTTTCAGAACCGGAAGGAGTACATGTTACGTATATATTATCTGAAACGTCGACACATTAACCCCATATAAAACAACGGATACTTGTGAGATTCAATTTTCTATTTGTGCAATTATGTTTATATTTACTCGAAGGCAATTTCTAAATATATTTTCATAACGGTGGAGTATTTAAAGTGAGCTAGCGTGTTATCTCCATCTTTTGATGACATTGTTGTCACTTCAACAATGTTAGTTTAATGAATGTTTCTATAATAAAATCGTTTATGTAGCATTCTTTTATTTTAAATTCGTGTTGCAGGATTGTGAAATGCCTTGAATTAACACGAGACATGTGTCAATTGTTTTATATTGTGTACATTTTGAGTTTGACACGAGCTGAGTTTTAAATTCGAGTACATATTTGAGCTGTCATTGAGCATCACATTGTTCGATTAGGTACTAGTTTATACCTGTCCAGCAACCTGAATTTATAAGACGTGATATGTATGCTAAAACATAAATGTAATTAGCATGATTTGTAAAGGGAAAAATAATATAAATATCCCAAATTTTGAAATGGTGTGAGATAAATACCTTAAACATGCATATACAATATATATATACCCTAAACTTTATATAAAGGTTATGTTTGCATCATGATTATATGTTTTTATGAATATAAGTTTATTGCAATAGGTAAATAATTTAGAATGCTCTAGGCTTTGTTTGATGCACTTAATATTCTAAAAATTCATTAGTGAAATAAATAATATTACATCTGTTGCAATCTAATTCTAAATGCATCCTCAAAAGTGCTTTGTGCATTTTAAATTATGTACTTTACTTCATTAAATTATATTTGTGAAAAAAATATGATCATGATGCTAACATAACTTTATATATAAAGATTGGAGTATATATATTACATATGCAAGTTTGGGGCAGTTAGCTCACATCCCTTCAAAGTTGAGATATTTAAATTATTGTCGTCTTTTATAAATTTAGATATAGTTATAAAGGAATTGAGTACTTGTTGAATAATTCGAGCTCAAACTTATTAATGAGCATAAGCTAACTTCTACATGCAACCATATTTATCGAACTTATCAAGTGCTTGACTCACACTAACTATATATATCGAACTGAATAGGAACTTCATTTGCAAAGATCGTCGAGCTTCGAGCTCAAACCCGAACACCAAACTTACCAAATCCAACTGCACTCAAGATCTAGGTGTATGAGCTTGAGCAATATTAGTTCTGCTTCCGATTCTTAATTACTCTCTCCGTCCCAATTTGTAAGATACTTTACGGTTTACGATGTTTGAACGACGATAAAGCAAATTGATCCCTGTCAACACTCAAATTAGTTTTAGAAAATAAAATTTACATATTCAGAAATTACATTAAAACCGCTACATTAATCCCGATCAAATTTATGTTGATCAAGTGAATAGTAAATGTATCTTAAAATTTGGGACTGAAGGAGTACAAATTATGGAGTATACTATTATCCTCTCAATTTCATTCCTGCCATTAGCTGCTTTCTTTATTCTTCACACAACATTTTTTCTCTGCATCGCTCTCCAAATCCACCTTTTCATAAGTTGGCATGATTTTTTCCAGACTTCGAGTATTCACATCATGTGTCTCAAGTTGAGAAAGAGACTAGTAAATCTGTAAATGCCTTTATGTGTCTCAAGTTTTCAAAATAATAAAAACAAAACTAGACCCATAAAACCTGCGTATCTTTAACATTAGTACTCGTGTTCTCATGGTCCATGCCTACAAAGGTAATTAATTACAAGCTCTGCCAGTAGGTCAACTTAAGCTAAATCGCTGCTTCATTTCCTCAATTAGAATGGAGGTGATGTACATATTTTACCGCTGCCACTTGAAGAAACTAACCCCACTGCAACTCTCTGCAGCACTATCATCATCTGACCCGCTATCGACCGTTTCATCAGAACTCTCCTCTGGAACCACCTTCACTCTATCAGCGTTTTTCATCATCCAATCTGCGAATTCGGGTGTAGATGCCAACTCAGCTATTCCCGACTTGGTAGATTCTTGTGTGAACTCCTCCCATTCCCTTGCTGAGAATCTCTTCCTGTTAGGCGTCTTGTGATAGGTCGAGTAATAGCATGCTGGTTCCTTTTTTGCCCCCCTCTTATTATTAGATCGAACCAACCCTGCAAGAATTTGAAATTTGAACTCATCAACAACCTCTCTCTTCACCGCACTTCCACAGTGTTGTATTAACCGATCCACTTAGTTATCTAGACCACTCATAATAATATAGTAACAATAGTTTCCTAAACTAATCACATCTAATCTAAAACTGTTAAAATTAATCATAATTATAAACTCATGAGTATGTTTTTATTATTAACTTTTGTATGACAAATCTAATATGGAGTACAACACAGTATGTTTTTAAATTCTCTTGCCATGTTTTCCAATGTAGCCCTATTTAATTCAATGAAGGCGAAAGATACTATTACTCCACTGGTCCACTCCCTCTGCCCTAAATTATCTTACAATTTTTCTTTTCTGTCCGTCCCAAAATAATCCTCTTTACTTTTTCGGCAAAAAAATTGTGGTTCAAAACATTCTTTTACACTCCCACACATTTCTCTCTCTTTTGTACAACTCTCACTACACCATTTCCACTCTCTTAATCCACAAAGGTAGTATATATTTACTAAATAGATGGCTATGCAGAACCACAAAAACATCAAGAAGTGGACAGAAAAATAGAACTGGAGGTAGGGACTCCTTGGGGGCTTCTGATTTTGGATATATCAAGTTGATAACTTGATAGTACGGTATATGTCATCACTCATATTTGAGTCTTATTTGTTGTTGTGACTAAATTGATCATATTTGACCTATCCGTAACTCTTTGTTTTTCTATCATTTGCAATGGAGCCAAAGACTGGCTATTTTTTGGCTTGGGAATATGATGGAATAAAGCAAATGGGCTCACTAAACTGTCTGCGCTTTTTTTGAGAGTTGTCTGCGCTTCTTTGTTATGAAGCAACAGTCAGTCCATGCAATTTTTGACGGGATTTTCACTATGGGTCATCCCGAAACAGTCTCTCTGTGCTTTAGTACAGGGGTAAGACTGCGTACATCCAACCCCCCTTACCCCACCGTAGGCGGGAGCCTTTGCGGCACTGGGGTAATGATAATGATGAATAATGATGATTACATTTTCTAGGACAGAGTGGGTAATATATTTAAGAAGCAAAATGTAATACATGTGCAAAGAGGTTTTCCAGTTGATTAGTGTGGATGTGAAACATAGGTTTAATCAGGGAGACGGGCTTATTAGAAAGAAGAATACTCAATACAAATAAGGGATGGAAGATATGTTTGCCTCAGATCCCAGAAAAAACCATTCTTCAGTGCTATTAACATTAAACATCTTCTTTCCAAACAAAAGTTTGCTTTCAGTTCTCTCCATACTTTATCAAGAACTTATCATTAAGAGCTTTCTCATACTTGATTTGTTGTGTTAAAAAATCATTTAAGCATATACCTTAACATAACAAATGTTCATTTAAAATTAAATCATAATGGGGCTATCACAAACAAGGTCAAAAGACACAATAAGCAGAAGGGGCTCAGTTTAAAATGAATAAAAAAGGTTTCATTGAACATAAGTAAAGGAAAAACTGTGAGATAAAAATGGAACAAAGGGTAACTACCTCTTAGAGGAGAACCAGACCAAGGAGATGAGCTCATTGGGCTTTTAGATGCAGATCCATAAATTCCTGCTCTCTTTGACTTCTTATAAAACTCAGCACGCTTTGGCGTCAAGTTCAATTGCTTATTTATACGTGCATTCACAGCCCTATTTCTGGAATAAGATGAAAACACGCAGGCACAGAGACAAACGGTCAGATGGTCCAAAACTCAATTACAAGATACATACTTAACACAATTAAATAAATGGAGAGCCATAGAAAGATACCTGGCTCTGCGTTGCCTCATGGAATTGATACAAGAGCAGAGCAAACACCACAAACCAAGCACAACAACTGCCAGAGGAGTATCTAATGTGCTCTGACAGAAAGAAAAAAGACGAAGAGTTGGTTCTTTTTCTCAATAACAATATAGTGTAAAAAAATGGATCCTGCACATACATATTGCATTCAGTGCAATAAATACATATCAAACTGAGAAGATATGGTGCTTAGAATTCCAATTCCCTTATGTGAGATATGGTTAATTGGTTAGTAGGTTATAACAGCTATGGTCTAATGGTCTTTAGCAAGATTTGAAGCTCCTGAGACAAACTTGAACATAAGCATATACGAAGGCATGGGGAAAAGGACCGAGCAGAATATATTGCATAACATTTGGGTATAAGTTACACTCCTTCCCTAAATAGTGTTCATGGTTCGACTGTCTCCGACATCCATCTTTGCCATTATTCTTTGCAATTTTTTGTTAACAGATTAATATTTTGAAAACATGTATGAAATCACATTAGAAAAATGTTTTTCATATATTAAACAACAATACAGTGTAATCTTTAAAGTGTGGTGAAAGTTAACCACTTTGACCTGAAATCAGAACATGAACATTATTTGGGGTAGGATGAAGTCATATAAAGGAATTTAATTTCAAGTATACCATAATCTCGGTCTAACAGTAAAGCTTCT